GCGTGTCAATGATTGCAAGTGACATTGAATGAGCCTCCTCCATCTGAAAGATATTGGGAGTTTCACATCACTAACCATACATATTGTAGGGAAACCTTCTTATGCAACTAATTAATAACAGGCAATGTGAATTTGATAAATTATTTCTACCTTAGAAATATCTGAATTTTGGCGCCAATAATTTTGGGACACCCTGTATATTAGTGAAACGATAAGGCTGCTCGGCGTACGCGTAAAACAACATCTAGCTGGATAAAGGCATCACATGGCATAACACCACTTGGGACGCACCGACTAGGAGGACATCGAAACAAGAATTTCGACATCAAATGTAAAACCCTAGCCTAAGAGAATTAGATCGGTGCCAGAGATATGCTGGAAGCATCACGATTTATTTCTCTAATGTGCTGTGTTGCGCTTACCCTACGCTTACCCTATTCCAAATTCGACTCCGACTCCAGGTGTTTCTTCAGATAGTATCGAATTTCGTGACAGATAGACGTACAGACGCGAGTGCTTTGTATATAGTAAGGGTCTTACGATCATCACTGGTTTCTCATTAAACCCTTGTTGTGAGACGTAACGCTGATGGAACCGCAGAAGGTCAGTCACTTTGCTGGGATCTTTTCAAAATTCATATTTCCGGGAGTCGGTGCAACTAGCCTAGCGCGTTTGGGCATTTGGGACATGTGCCAGGAAAAGGAGTATCGCTGATCTAACACTTCGTTATCGAGGAAGTGCCATTCGAAGACCAGCCATAGATGGTCTTCGTGGCAGCAGCGATTATACTACTACACAATCAAGACGAAAAGCCTCAACGATTCAATGATGTACGAAAAACAGATATGAAAAGCGCAACTCCAATGAGGTTAGGCAATTGTCTCAGGCAGCCAGCCCCTTAAATTGAATCTCTCAGTAGCTGCAAAGACTTCATTGAGACGAGATGAATGACCTCTTCATTTCGATCTAGTTCCCTGCATAGATACAGTAGTAAAGTATTCGGCGGAATGCTTCTTCAGTTGTGATTTTCAGTCATAACTCCTTTCCTACTGGATCTAATCAAGCGAAATTTCAATATGTGTAGCATTGGTACAGTGTGAATATTTAGCACTACTAACCTGCATTTTGATCATATTCCAAATATCCCGAAGAACTTGAAATCAAAACCAACTGAGGGGACATAGGTGCTTCTGAGACTTCTTTCCTTTTTGCCAAGTCTTAAGTGTACGAGCGCTAATGTCGAACCCAGAAGAGAAGATAAACGTACATAAGGTCCGAATAACCGCAGACGTCACAAACTTGCTTCCAGCACAGTCTACAACTCCTGCTCATTAGTATGTGGATATGGCTGTTGTGCAGTCAAATAGTGTTGGATACTGTGAAATAGGCTTCAGTTAAACATATCAAATTTTCATGCGATTTGCTCCACTGGGAAAAAAATCACGGCAAATTGAAGTTGGCCGGATACTTTTGAGCGCTACTGTATACTTTTGCTTGTATGAGGTGCTGTGTCCAAGGAACAGCCAACCGTTACACCTTTGAAAGACCTGGGATCTTATGGTATAAGTATAATAGGAAATTATAGCTAAAGCAGGACATTTACCCTTATGGGGTCTGAGGGGTCCGATGCAATAAGAGATGTCGGGATATCCTGAATGTTACGTGATTTTGAAAAATTCTGTTTGTGATTCAACAGTTTGCTGTGAGACACCTGTAACCTGCCGCTCTCATATTGCGGATGTTTTCTGTTTTTTAAGTGTGATGCTACTCGGGTCCGTCTTCTTAAATAACCGCCAACACTTTCCTACATTTGTCCTTGATGTCTACCTCTCCCTTCATTTTATAAAAATGTTGCAGCTCCCACCAGCCGAAAAGGCTCTCATCAAGTAGAAAGCTGCTTTTAATTCATCCTTTCTCCTTCGGCCTCCTTCCCTAACAAAAAACAACAGGCCTATTCGCAGAACAGTATCGCATCTGGGAAATATTTGCATACATATTTGAGAGATAATCAAAGAAGGCATGGTTGATAATTGGATCAGAATGCCGTTTACCCTGTCGACATGTGTTTGAAAGAGACGGTCTGCAACTTATCAAACATTGTTTCGCTTTTGGAAAGGATTGGAATGTTGTTCTAGATAAAAAATCCAGCAAAGACTACTTTGACTTTTTAAAGTTTCCCCGAAGTTTGTCAAGCCAAAATGTCTTCATTAGAACAGGTGAATATTAATACATCATACGATAATTCGTGTCTTTTTTGAAGGTTTTACATTCCGAGAAAAATATTCCCCAGAGCGTTTCAAGAAACAGGGACTTTGTTTTTACTTTCTACAGCCGACAGTGCTCTCAATTTCACTGTCTTGGAATTGCTTTCAAAAAACAGATTGTATTTCCCTACAAAATCACATGAGGGAAGAGACCCGTCTGTTTTGATCTGGTATTTGGGAGTATGCTCGGCCTATCCTTGAAAACGAGACTGGCGAGACTGTTATGCTCCTTCCACCCGAGTGAAACGAACCCTCCCAATGAATGAGCTAGATCAAAATAATTCAACAAAAGAAGTTTCTGTGAGAGTAATGGGATTCACACCCTAGAGTATCACCAAACAATGTTCGCTACAAAACTTTGAATATTGTCTCTCCTAGCTGAGTTTGGTGAGAAACATCATCAATATCTAACTTATGCGTATAAGCTAGTAACGGACTCAAAGTTCTCTACAATGTATTAGGCGACCAAAATAATCGTGCGGTTTTTTCTAAATGCTCACTTCTCCGCAATGTATAAAAAAATGATTACGATAGGAGGGTAACATTGCATAAGCTTCAGAGCTTGTTTTATGCAGAATCATTCAGTTTGTCTCATAGGTTTAAGTAGTGCTTTTTAAGTTCAAGCTGCGCTTTGCAAAACCGCGCTAAGTAGCTATAATTACGCGTGAAACTCTAGCACGTTTACAACGAGAGATCCTGCCTCACCCTCCGTATTCATCAAATCTTACACCAAGCGACTATCTCCTGTTTTTAGCCCTGGATAATCACATGAGGAATCGACTTATAAAGATGGAATGTACTACCTTATCTCACGATGGGAGAAAGTCGCTCTTGCTGAAGGAGACAATTTTTCAGAATGAACTTCACTTGATTCTCTTTTTTGGATATTATTTATCCACTTGCAAAACTGCACGAACTTTTTTGGTCACCTGATGTATTCGCTGTTAGTAGCTCGTCTAACAGAAGTCAATTCAACCAACATCATGTCAAACTTGCCGAGATAGCCCCTTTCACTGGAAGAGCCGACTCGCTAGACCAAGTTAGGCAAAAGGTCCCGTCTTCCATCTCGACCCTCTGAAGTGACAAGAAAAGCTCTCAGTGTCTCAAGAACATCAGCTAGCTGTTATCGAGTATATTTCCTTGTACTGTTTTCGAATTTTTTTTGTTGTTTCATCTCATTTGAACTTTGTAACCCAGTTTCTTTCTTATTCATGGTTTGCCGCAGGGTATCTGGATAGGGATTCGAGAGAATTTGGAGCTCCTGTAGAGTATTGTTATTCGTCTCATTTAGACGTGAACTGTGTAAGTGATGGATGTGGTGAACTTTTTCCACACCTTGCTCTCTTTGTGGGGAATTTTTCTTTTCCTCTTCCTCTGTGTTGGATTGTCATATCTGGACACAGAATGCTCACCTATTGCTCCGACAGTATTTCGTTACAAACCTTCAGCTGGAATGTATCAGCCCACTTCTACGCGTTGCTTCATGCGAAAAGCCCTATGGTCGGATGTGTCATACGACCGTCCTTTGCTAAAAGTGCATGAGCTCTGCTGGGTTTCGTAACCACATCTTGAGCGTACGTAGTAGAAGGGTTTTATGTGCACTGCTAATCGGTCTCTAGGGCAATGAAGAAATTTTCTTGAATGAGCATTTCCAGCGCTCCTCAAATATGAAGGGGCTGGGGTAGTCTATATGATTCGTAAAAGGATTTCACAAGCGTAAAACACACTTGTTATAAACACAAAACAAGAAAACAACAAACACAACAAAAAAGAAGCGCCTGCACCAGAAACCCGAATCTCCGTCTCACCCCTACCAGTCCGCCGCCTAGCCAACTGCGCCATTCCTGCAGTTTTCCCGTGTTGCTCGATTCGCTTATAAAAACAACGCAGTGGCATGACACTTGGAGAAACTAGGTCAAGGAATCAATTCCTAGATACACACTCGTTTATGCCAATGAAGGTATCGAAGCCTTCAACACCGAATTTGAAAAAGAGATGAATTTAAAAATTGACCTGGACCGGACTTTTTGGGATCACAAAAACTTTGACGTGTACCCTGATGAGACCAGGCCACCCGTAGTATCTTCCATACACGCTTGCAGAGGCAGCAGTGCTCGAAGTATTCTCTTTCTTTGGACTTAACCACTGCCTGACATTATAGTATTTAAGAATTTATAAAGCTGCCTATTTAAGAGCCTTCGCGATTCCTAGTGCTTGAGGAGTTACAAAAAAGTGTATTAAGCGTGCAACAGTCGCCGCTTCAGCAGAAGTTTTGCTCAGAAAAATTCATCTCTCCCTACGAAAAACAGGTATAAATTACGAAACCTTTAGAATAGAAACAGTGGGGTTTCATGTAAATTCCAGGTTCTCGAGGAACCATTATCTCGCATGTAACTTTTTCCTCTACTAGCTGATTCACTTAAAATTCTTCTATGTATCATATTCGTATCCCGTAGAGGGATATGAAAATGATACATAGAAGAATTTATGGATCGAGTGGCTAGCCCATAGAAAAATTTGGGGATGCCCTGGGTAGCCCCCGGAATCACCCAGCCCCCACGTCAAAGCCTGGCAAGTACACGATATGTATCCACTTGCCAAAACAGTAATACAAATGGGCCTAATTCCCCTGAAGCTGAGGAGGCCCCCAATATGGCAGCGAAGGGTAGGATCGCTCGGGGGAGGCTGCTAAAATCTAACGGTCAAAACAGGCTGCGCAACAGGAGAAGGACTAGGATGGCGATCTGTACTTTCAAGGCACGGAAGCTTGCATCGGAAGCGTGCATAGAAGATCTGATGATGCAAGCTAGAAAGATCAAGTACGACGTCGTCGGACTGACCGAGACGAGAAGACATCGCCCCGAGAAGGTATTTGAGACTGGCGAAGAACTGTTCCTTGGAACATGCGACAGCAGAGGTGTCGGCAGCGTAGGTGTCCTCGTCAATACGCACTTGGCCATGAAGTCGATTAGTACGAAAGCTTAACAATCCGAATCGGACGTTTGCGACTAAGAAGATGTGGCTCATCTTCGTTGCCTACTCACCAACATCGAGTTATGAAGAAGAGGAGTTGGAAGCGTTTTTTATTGATCTAGAGAGGATCTACAAAGAAGACCACACTTTCTTCAAGGTCATCGTCGGTGATTTTTTCGCCAAGATTGGCCCCAGAAGNATCGCCCCGAGAAGGTATTTGAGACTGGCGAAGAACTGTTCCTTGGAACATGCGACAGCAGAGGTGTCGGCAGCGTAGGTGTCCTCGTCAATACGCACTTGGCCATGAAGTCGATTAGTACGAAAGCTTAACAATCCGAATCGGACGTTTGCGACTAAGAAGATGTGGCTCATCTTCGTTGCCTACTCACCAACATCGAGTTATGAAGAAGAGGAGTTGGAAGCGTTTTTTATTGATCTAGAGAGGATCTACAAAGAAGACCACACTTTCTTCAAGGTCATCGTCGGTGATTTTTTCGCCAAGATTGGCCCCAGAAGAACGGCTGAAGAGCTTCACATCGGGACTCACGGAGTGGAATGGAATGAGCAGGGTGAAAGGCTGTCCGAGTTTATCATGTCGTCCCACACCATCCATGGTAACTCGCAATTCCAAAAGCCCTATCATTTGCGATATACATGGGAGTCACTTGGTGAACAGTTCCATAATGAAATAGACCACGTCATCTTCCATCGGAGATTTTGCCTGACTGATGTCGCTGTTGTTCCGAAATTCCACACAGGATCGGACCATCGTCTCCTTCTCATTGGATTCTATTTCTCAGTGCGTGGTGAGAAAGCTGTAAAGTTTAGGAAATTATGCCCTAGAGCTTTCATCAACTGGGATCACTTCGCTTCTCTCGCGAGTGAATGTAAAGATTCCGTTATCGACAACATCAATGAAGGGTAAACCGGCTCGTCGAAGATCTTCACGAGAGTGCTAGGAAAGCAGAAAGTAGCCTAGAGACGACTCTCCTCGAAGACAAAAATGCAGATAAACGATAAATTAAGATCTGGAAGAAAGAAGAGCAGCACTTATGAACGAAGCCGTCGAGGATGGAAAGAGCATTCGCAAAGCCCGACGGAGTTTCGCCGATTACAAGACCAAAATGACTTTCCTTCGTTGTCCTAACGGAACAGTTACTGCATCACGAAGGGCAATGCAGAAGGTCATCTACGACTTCTACTCGGATATCTTCGATAACCACGTCTACCTGCCTATCCACCATCTTATGCAAGACGAATATATATCGAACCTTCGGTTCTCCCTTTCGTATTTCGATATGCCATAACGTCGATGAAGAATGATACGGCGCCCGGTCTTGATAGTATCAAATCAGAACATCTAAAAGAGTCTTCCATTAGTGATCGTCAAAACCCTGGTTTGTCTTTTCACGCGGTACCTGTCAGGATGCAAAATGCCCACTTTGTGGCGAACTACCAAGACTGTGCTGCTGTACAAGAAGGGAGATCCCGACGATATTGGGAATCATGGCCCATTCTGCCTGCTGTCTGTAATCTACAGGCTTTTCACACGCGCCATCCTGGACAGGATTGGCACAATATTAAATGAAGGACAGCCATACGAGCAAGCAGGGTTTCGGAGAGGGTTCGCTACAACCAATCATATCTACACTCTTTAAAGCATCAAGAGAGTACAAAATGCCGCTACATATGTCATACGTTCATCAATTTGAAGAAAGCTTCTGATACTGTCGAGACAGAAGCGGTAATTGAAGCCCACGATGTTTCTGCTCAATATATAAGGATGCTTCGTGAGCTCTACAATAATTTCACACCAGGATCTCACCATTCTATAAAGGAGTCATCATCAACATAAAGAGAAGAGTTCGACAGGGCGATACCATCTCGCCCAAATTCGGGCTTATTAACCATTTGCTAACACTGGTGTAAAATCGACTGAAAAATCTTATCGACAACTCTGTTTCGATTTTTATAATGAAAGAATGGGTTTAACTTGGAACAAATTCGACCGGAGTAGTTTGCAATCCCTTCAAATAATTACGTCGAAAACGTGTCGGATTCTGTCATCTGCCAAAACTCCCGTTAGCAAGGAGGGCGCCCGTAATAGTAATCATGCACTCGGGTCTCATTAGTGGTCGCAACAGCATTGGTCGTGAATAACCGGCAACGTCAACGACGACCTTCCTTATTACCTACGAGAGGAGCTGAAGGGACATTCTAAACATAAATTCGTTACAACCTAAAATCTCGAGTCTAGATGACGCTGCAGAGACAGCGCGAAAAGGCTTTATTGAAGCATTCAGTTTGAGAAAAATACTAAGCTTTTTGAAAACCGCAGAATTGAATCACCAGCTGCTGAGACTACTATAGCAGGCCGAGTAATCTTGGAAAATTCCCTCTGTATTACCTGTATTACCTGTCGTCCCGTTGGTCGTAGATATGATTGAGCGGTTGCCAGTAACGTCTCCATTCGCCCCTGTCACGAGCTAGAGTGATTCAGTGAATCGCCCTTGCTTCAGGGAGACGAGGCCCAGCATTCCTCTCGTTCAGAGCTCTCGCGAAGAGTTCTGACCATCTCGTTCGCGGCCGTCCCAAACTCGTCTTCGATTTCATGTCGTAATCAGGGGCATCCCTGATCTTCGTTCGATGACGAAGCTCGGAACACCGGATTTCCTTGTGCACTTGCATGTATAAAGAAATTCCGAGCATCATTCTTCCCAAAGCGCATTGAGTAACGCTGACAGCATGTTCATCCTGCTTTCGTAAGATCCAAGTCTCTGAGGCGTACGTCAAAGCAGGAATGACAGCCATGTCGAGAAAGTGAGCGCGGAGGCGGACGTTCCTTGTCTTCTTCACTACTACCTCAATGTTCTTTAACGACCCCTTACCGCGCGTTTCCTTCCGCTCAGTCCGGCGCTGGGTTACTTATCATGTTGGCTCCTTGACCTACAGTAGCGCTTAAAAGTCATCGGTGAAATGGTTCTTCACCCGTACTTTTCAGTCGTAACTCCTTTCCTACTAGATCTAATCATGCGAAATTTCTATATCGGAGCGTGGATGTATTGTGAATATTTACTACTATTAACTTGCAATCTGACCATGTTCCAGATATTTCAAGGAGCATGAACTCAAAATCGACTGAAAATGCAGACGATGGTCCTTCTAGAATCTCTTTCCTTTTTGTCATGACTAAAGTGTACGAGCGGTAATGCCGAATACAATAGATGAGAAAAACGCTTACACGGTGCGAATAAGTGAAGACGTCAACTACTTTACTTTTAGCAAAATCTGCTGCCGCAACAAACACCTTGCTCTATCTGTGGAAGGAAAATCTGCTGCCGCAACAAACACCTTGCTCTATCTGTGGATATTGCAGCTTTGCAGCCAAATAGTATTGGGTAGGGTGAAATATGCTCTAGCTAAACATCTCCACATTTTGCGCGATTTGGTCTTTTAAGAAAAAAGTTATGAACGAAAAAGCGTCAAAGCATTTGACCAAAGACTTTTGAGCGCTACTGTATATACACGTTGCTAGAGCAATCAAAGATATTCGTTTTGTTAAGCGTAAAGTGTGCATTAGGTATCAATGCTCACGAGCAAGAGATCTATTGCTTATGAGCATCGGCTATATTAGGTTCAGTCTCAATCCACAGGAAAAAAAACAAAAAAAAATAAAAAAATAAAAAATTCAAGTTAAGTCTCAATCCACATGCGATCTCTTCACAAGCGCTCTCAAATTCGACCAGCGCCTGCTCGATACTCGGTGTTACAAGCATGATGTTTCCAGTGCAAAGCGGAGGTAATGTAAATAAAGCCGTCGACCTTCTCTGCCAACTCATCCCATCTTAGAACACCCATGTTCTTCTCAAGAGTTGCAATGGAAAGTTTGGGCAATGTGGCACCGCCCTGTCGAATCACACTCTTCATTATGGTGATAACTTTATTATGGAATATCGAGATCCCGGTCGTGAAGCTGTCGTAGAACTCACGAATCGTCCTTATGTATTGAGTAGAATAACCTGGTTGCCCAGGGCTTCAATTACCGCTTCTGTCTCTATCGTTTCGGATTGATAGTCTCCAATGTCGTCTGAATCTCCCTTTTGATGCAACAACACACTATTGCTAGTTTTCCGCGATTCGGTACACTTTGCATTCACGGTAGCGCGTGAAGAGCCGGACCAGTGTTCGCAGTACGTTTGGACGTTCGTTGCTGATCGCCTGTAGCTTGCGCGATTCCATGGCGTATCAGCTCAAGATGTTCGATATTTGAAGAACCTGTTATACCTCATGTTGTCGTCAGTAAAATCTTCCCAAAAGCTCGCAATGAAAACAATATTGATGAAGGTCTTGATGCTTCTTTCCCTAAACTCTGCTGCTCTCCCTCTACTCGTTGAAAAGCAGAATCGATTCCCGCGTAGGACTTTTTGGAATAACAGAGACGCCTTTTGTGCTGTTTTAAGCCTTTCCAAGATTCACAACTTTTCTTACTTACGTTTCGGCCTCTTCGCCTTCTTCAGAGCCCTAAAGCTGAAAAACGAATGGAGATTGATCCACACGTAGGTTTAGACAATACTCAAAACAGTCCTCTAAACTAGTGGACCCCGTGGACTCGATCAATACAAGGGTGTTACATGGCTTACCTTGAACTTAGAGGTCAACCACTAGTACGACCATACAGGGTCCTCTGGTTTAGAGGACTGTTTTGAGTATTGTCTAAACCGACGTGAGGACGAATCTCCATTCGCTTTTCGGCTTTCAGGCTCTGAAGAAGGCGAAGAGGCCGAAAAGTAAGATGGATAAAGTTATGAATCTTGGAAAGACTTAAAACAGCACAAAAGGCGTCTCTGTTATTCCAAAATGTTCTACGTGGAAACCGATTTTGCTTTCCAATGAGTAGAGGGAGAGCAGCAGAGTTTAGGGAAAGAAGCATCAAGACCTTCATCAACTTTGTTTTCATTGCGAGTTTTTGGGAAGATTTTGCTGGCAACATGAGGTATAACAGGGTTCTTCAAATATCGAGCATCTTGAGCTGATACGCCATGGAATCGGGCGAGCCACAGGCGATCAGCAAATGGTTAATAAGCCCGAATGAGTGCTATCGAACTGTGCCGAAGAGAGTTATAGAGTTAGAGTAGTGTTAGTTAGACAAAAGACTCACGAGCGGATCAAATTTGTAAAAAACCGAGATACTGATGAGCAATTATGTAATGATTTTGTTGAACCGCTCCCTAACAACAAGTAGTGAAAAACTACAGCAAATTTTCAACTAGGCGCCCGAACTTTGATATCGGCCCTGCAACCCCGACCCTACCACGTTATCAGTAGCTATTGGACTCAAACGACTTGATTAGATACCATTTTCAGTGAAAACTATGGCTAATATTCTACTGTAAGCTCGCAAACAGGATCAATTTGACTCGGCTCAGAAAATTTGCAAAAGAGCCGAGGACACACTGATGATAGGGTTCCTCTACAGAAGGTCCCTTCGACTTCCTTCTTTTGTAGTATGAAGCCAAATAGACACATAAAACAATTATAATCGAGCCTATTGCGTTTTTTTGTAGGTTGCTACTGTAGTCTGCAATGTTCTCTATCGACGGCCGCTGATGCATGTCGCAAATATGTCACGTCCAATCTCAGTACCTTTAGAATCAGCGCGGGGCCATCATTTGATTGAAAATTGGAATCAGGCTCACTCGGAAATTGTGCTGAGAGGTTGCTTAAAATTTTACCATAGAAAGAAGTCTAGGCCATCCTGGGTTGATTTTGCCTTATCATTCTTTACAGGGTGGGCCAAAATTATGATTGTAGCGCGCGCTGATGTTCATTGCAAATTTTTTCTATGTTCATCACAATTCATTGAATTTCTTCTATTTCACAAAGTAGCTTACGTTATTACCTTCCTGATGATACTAAACTTTGGGTAGATTTTTAACATAATATAAGTGTAACTAGTCCATGAATTAGGCGTCGCTTTGCATTTACAAACACTTTTGGCACGGTGCATCTACAGACGAACTAGCGAAACAGGGCAGGTATTGCATTCAACCATAAGACGCTCTCGAGAGTTGGGAACAATTGCAGATAGGAGTGATGAACCTAGGAAAGCTGTGGTTATATTTAAGGGAAGTTTTAAGGAAGCAGGGCAAAGGTCTACGTAACAGCAAAATTCATTCTTAGTCCAAAAAGGCTAAATGAATGGATATGTCAAGAAATTTTCTGCGTGAAATCGTGAAGCATCACCTGCACAACGAGACCCCTATACGGTCGGAAAGTGATTTCCTCAGAGAGCAGGTTAAAGGGAAGAGAAAGGTTGGCTAACAAAAGCTGCCTGTCGCATCCGAAAAAATTGTCCTACGGAATTCCTGTTCACCGACGAGAAAAGATTCACAGTGAAATAGGCGCTCAATAAGTAGAGCGATAACATTCATATGAAGCTTAAAGAAATGAAAGCGATACAGCGCCTGGCTCACTAACTTTCTGTGATGGCGTTTACCAGCATCACCGCCGGGGCAAAGACACCGATTATTTTTGTAAATTATGGAGTGGGAGTTGGTTTGAAGGCCTGTTGTTCTCTTCGTGCGCAATAGGACACTTTAATGATTCGAACCGGTTATATTGTCACGATGAAACTGCTGACCGCAGAACAGAAATTGTCTAGAAATTTCGTGAAAGGGGTTCTTTGACTTCATAACCTTCGATCAGTGACCACTCTGTAGCCCTGACCTAAATCCCATGAATGTCTCAAGTTGTCAGCCTCTGAGATGAAAGCATCCTTCAGCCCAAACATGAGAAGAAATAATCTCGAAAATGCTTAGCAAAAAGCCGGGAAAATTTCGATGATCCTAGCTGCGTGCCACCGTCAATGCCGTCCATCGTCGTCTTTGGGGTTGGGTGAAAGCAGAAAGCAACAGATCCCAGTCTCAATGTACAGTTTTGATAAGAAATTTGTGCTAAACCCTTTAATGAAATTGGTTTGCTCTATTGGCTTTCTATTCGTTTTCTGCGATGTGATTTCTGTGCAATCATAATTTTGGCCCACCCTGTATTTCCAGTCAGGTTACCAAAATTCATTATTTTCAACACCTTGCATATATTTTACTGGATTACCTCGTGAAGAGATGTATCTTTCTCACCTTCTTATACTTACTCATTGCATGTCATTCATAAGTTGTTCTTTTCTTACGGAAGCTTCACTTTTTGCCAGCTTTTGCTCTCCGTAGACACGGCATATCCTCCGTTCTTTCTTCATTTCTAATACTAAATAAAGGCTATGTATTCATACCAGACGGACCGTCTGGCCAACGCCGCGCTGCTTTATTAATATGGCAGGGTTGTAATGAACCTAATCCTTTTCCAGAACAAATTTGAACGCGAAACCTGAAACAGGCACTACAACTTCGAGGTGAAACGGAGAAGGAGAAAAGCTCGGCACAAAATTAGCAAAGAGAGTGGTGTTCAGTATGCTTGCTCATACCTATAATATGATTAGAAGACCCGATTTTGCTCCTTCATCTTCACAACAAGCATCCACTAACTGTTCCACTCTGAAGCGAGGGGAACCTTGAACTGCACTAATGTCATCAAGTGGTAATAACACCATTACCAGATGCCATATACAACGACCCTTCTTTTCTTTACCGATATATCCGTGTTCGATATTCGCAGGTTACCGGCGACTTGTTATTAAGAAAAGAGGAACCGTGAAATTTTATGGGTCACAAACCTTGACGTGTAGAGGTGTAATCTAATACCGAGAAACTGACTGAATTTTCGTCTTGTTGTATTGAAGTGCCTCTGCTCGATCCCTATTGCTGCACCTACACTCACTTTTGTCATCCTACCATCCCGTTCTATAGTATGAAAGATACCAAAGACGAGATGCTTCATCGTAAATACTAGAGGGATTAGGAACTAAGCGGCTCTTTTTTTTTCCCTGAGGCCCTTTTATGGGGTTGCAGCTCTTATCTTATCCATCTGCATCCACAGCATACTCCATATCACATGCCGGCTGCCCTACATTGCACTTCAGCCATGAGAGCAAGGCACTTTGATGGTTTTCGTTGCCCTCAAGAAAAAAAGTAAGACCACTAGCTAGATATATGAAAGTTTCACTACCAACCTGTGTGTATGGTGCGTCGTTTCACTCTCTTCACATGCTTATTCGATGATCTTTCCCTACGAGCCTATTTCGCTTTGAAAACGAATATAATCACAAGAGACTTTGACTCACCAACTATACTCCTCCAAACGAGGCCCGCCAGCAATCTTTCACGCACCACCCTTAAAAACACACTTTTTCGACAGAAAGTTTATGTGATATTTCCTACTTCTTATAGCTGCATGCAGGATGTGAAATTCGATTGCAAGTAGTCGCTGGCTGTCTTTGACGTCCCACATGTATCAATTAGCACCCTTGTCCTGCGAAATTCTCAACTATTCTGTTTTACAAAAACGGAGAGAGGATGGCTTGTCTACCCAGATTCACCTCAGAAACAGGACATCAGGATAGACGAAGGATAGCGGAAAGGAGACTATGGGAAGATGTGTAGACAATATTATATTTCGGAACTGCCAGGGCTACCAGAACATCAGGGTTCACACTTCCCAACACCAGACCAGACGAAGGATAGACGGAGATTATGGGAGGATATGTAGACAATACTATATTTCGAGCTTCATTCATATTACTCAAAGGCCCAGTTCATAGAAATGGTTTCTGAGATTTCCCGTTAGAATGAATCTGTAATCCTTAAGAGTTTACATGGGACGTCGTCGCGCCGAAAAACGGCCTAGATAGGGCGCATTAGGGGATCCAAAACCGGTTTGGCCAACGCAGACTTTCAAAATGACCGTGTTAGTCCTGCTTCCTATCATAGCACTACTCACGGACGAGACGAACCTTTGTAGGGGGTTGCACGGACACCGAGACGTCCGTGCAACCCCCTTTTTTGTTACATTGCTGAGGTCATGGGCTTTTTGAAACCCAACAATTTTCCGCTCTCTTCCTTGTCCTTGCACTGTTCTTCAGCGAGGCTTCCATTATTTGGCTTACCTCAGAATACCTTTAAAATAGATGCTTCAAAATTATCGTGAAATGTACTTTCGAGGAAGGGAGGCCTCCAAGATCTGACGGTTTATTCTCTCCTCGAACCCATAACGACGACAGGTCAAAAAGCGCCCTATTTGACCGCTTCTGCACATCACCATCGTGTAGCCTTTTGCCAAGGAAGAAGATTGCATGAAATCCGGTGTCGTGTTTTATAGTGTACCTGTCGACGTACAGAAGAGCAACTAAGGATATAGGCACATCTCTCTGCTAGCGGATAGAAGAATAATTGAATGGCATGCTCGAGCTTGATACGCCATATCTTCAAGGAGAGCACGCAATTCTGCGACCGTAATCTCGAAGCACGCTCCAGCATATTACAATGCTGTAGCGTGCTTCAAGGCGACGATCACAAAATTATAATGTGAATCCGATGTTGCGGCTCTACGAACTCAAGAGTTTTTCAGAACATGGCTAAGAGCCCTAAAATTGATGGAAGGGAAGAACGTGTGGCAGATATTTGACAGCTGATGCCCTTCGTATTACTATGTGACTTTTGACCAGCCGACCCTTCGACCGACCTTTTGGCTCGGTAACGTGGAGGGCTTATAAATTTATTAATAGGAGATGGTCGGAAACGGGTAAGGAGCGCATTCAGCCTCGACTGGCTTTTAGAGAGGTTTGCTCTACGTGATCTGACCTGTAGAGGTCACTTAGGAAAGTTTTTCCTTAGCTCACCTTATCTGAACCCCTCTCCAGAATGGGATGATGAGTAGACTATACAGCACTTCTATTACTACGGTTAGTTCGTTTCACACATGAAAAAGTAAAAGTCACGTTTCGCAAGCGTTTCAGCAGCAAATGCAAAGCAAATTCATTAGGAATGGAAACTTTCGGGTCAATCCAATGAAGGAATGCGATTTTGCTCCGAAGTCAATTCGCGAATTTGTGATGTTGATTTCAAGTCAGCGAACAGCAACGCCTGCAGCGGTTTTATCTCAACTTGAATGGACACACGACCTATCCTTCCCCGGTCAACGAGGAGAAATAAAGGTGAAGGAGCCGCAACCTAAATTCTGTTCTCGGAGTATCAAAATGACGCTGCACCGTCAAGCTGCGTTCCGAACTCATGCACTCACAACCTTAGTAACAAAAGGAAGGCAAGAGAAATGCTGCTGGACGACGAACCAATGTAGCCGCCAATTTGTGTTCCTGCATTTCGTTAACGCAGCAAAGGTGTCTTGTAAAGCTAGGCCCCATATCCTCTAGGGTTTCGAGGGGATTACTCTGCGTAGCCCATTCAAACAAGACTTTTGAAGACCACGCTCAGACTGGTATTTGATCGGTTAGCGCATTTTAGCATAACAAAATCTCCCGCAAGGCTGAGACAGATTGTTGTAAAATCACTTTCTAGGTCACAGAATCATTACTATATACAAAGCGCTCGCGTCTGCATGTATGTCTGTTTGTTTGTTTTTTTTGTTTGTACGGCATTACGATATAATCTGAAGAATCACCTGGAGAAGTCGGGTCAAGTTTGGAATGGGTTGAGCATAGGGTAAGTGCAACAGAGCGCATGTGGTTCTAGCGGAGCTCCGCCCCCAAGGGGGGGGGGCATGCGCCGGAATTGGGCGGGGTCATGGGCGAATTCTTCTAATTCGGTCTTATAACATTCCAGACGCCGGGAAAAAATGTGCAAAGGTGAGGGATGGGTCAACAATTGAAATAAAGGCAACTCACCGGCGGTGGGCGGAGCGTTCTCACAGTGGGCGGTACTTTCCACAGAGGTTCATAACTTTGTTCAACGAGGGCGTCGAGGCCAGGAAAAAAATAAAAAGAGTGAGCAAGGCCTTATGCGTGCTGGGCATGCGGTAAGTATAGCTAGGCCCCGCCCAAGATGGGCGGGGCGTGCGTTGAGGTGTAAGCTACTTTTCAAAAATGAGTGTAACTTCGTTCGGAAAAGTTATAGAATGCGGGGAAAAAGTGGTAGGATGTAGTAGAACAAATGTGGTCAGACCCCACAAGTGGGCGGGATCGGCGCTGAAGTGGGCACGGCCTATATCAAAAAAATTATAACTCTATTCAGAAACGTTTTGGGAAGCGGCAAAAAGGTGTTAAGGTGTAAAAGAACAAATGTGGTCCATTCTGAGAAAAATCTGGGGTTTAGATCAAAATTATTAGGTCTCTTCAGATGCGCTTTTGAATGAGGGAAAAGTGTCTGGAGGTAGTAAAAGTAATGTGGTTCGAAGTCTGAAGTGGGAGGTATTTCCAAAGGGAGGGGTCGGGGCCGGGCTAAGATCAAAAATTCATACATTTGTCCTTCACACTAACTCTGACCACATAGGTGTACAACTACAGGATACCACAGAACTCTCTCCAAAATTTAGCTGAAATTTTACTAAAAGTTGGTTCCACATAAAGTAGTCCGTTCTACACAAGAGCAAATGCACTACATTGACTTCAGATCTCATGAAATAAATTCTACAATAACCCCGGCACACAGGCGCGTGACCTGTAGAGAAGTGTAAATCCCTACAACTACCATAGAGGCTGTCCTTTCAAAGTTAGTGTTCATGACCACACACAGCCCCACTTCACGGTACTTTCATGACCACACAGCCAGACAGCCCAGACTAAAACATTTGTTAATTAAGATCAGAAAAGGGTTGAAGTTATTGCTTGATTAATCCCCGTCGCCCTTGCTGAAGAATATTGTGTATACAAAAGTGTTGCTTTGAAAAATTACATGTTTCAAAATCAAGAGAAATTCAAAAATCACCCCTCTTGAACTGCTTGCCGGTCAGTCCGATTTTTCGTGACTAGCGAAAAAATTCCATGCTTCCCATGAGGTAGAAAATGATGTCCGCTACAGAAGTGTCAGGGAAAAGGCTAAGATGATAAAGGTCTATAATGAAAATCGGAAGCTCATGTGACCTTGTCCCTTATTTCTTGAGCCCCAGCGCACGCGATAGCGTGCGTAGGTTCTCGACTTCTCCCGGCAACCAATGCAAAGCTTTGTCACTGTAAAAACACTATCGTACAGGCTGACTGAAAAAAAACGCTGAAACACTACAGCACTAGGCAAGAGGATGCATGTGAATTCTTTTAAAATTGCTGCACACTCATGCATACAAGCGTTGTTAAGCATACCTCAACAAAGAAGAGTTCATTTTCAAACAGTGAAGGTCATCTGACTATTGGAGATCTATGGTACAGAACAGCGGTCTTGCTAGTCTACGGCGAATGTTTTCGGTTTCTCCCGATCACAGAACATTTGAACTAATACACACAAAATTTCACGGACATTTCGCACGTTGGATTGTAGAAGATAACATAAAATTATGACATTACCATCGATTATTGTTATAGGGCTTACCGCTCGAATAGTCAATATCATAAGACAATATTGCTGTTTTCCAGAGCGGATGTCCAAGCCTACATAAACAGTTCCTCAAGTGGCATATAAAAACACTTTCTCGAGCGAGGTTGGTAATTTTTTATCTGCAACTCGTCCAATACATCGGTCAGATCTACTTCTCCACAACATAAATATTTGGCGATCAGAGTCTGCCAGACTCAATGACGCTGATAAGAAGCGTCGACTACATCGCCTGCAGCTGAAGCAACACCTGCGACTCGGTAACTGCAACCTACTCTTAGACCGTACGCCATGGACGTCGAAACCCTTCGCGCGATCTTCCACGCCCAATACTTGTCCAACAGAAAACGCTGGACCCTCTGATAGACAGGATGGGTATATGTATGTTCAAGATGATGACGACAACTCCAATGGGAACTCGAGCATCGACAACGCAGTTTGTGACCAACTCACTCTCAACACGCTTGCCAGAACTCAGCTGCGATCCTGAAGATGAATGCACTCTCGACGTATGGTACAACTGATACGAAGAAGTCACGACTCAAGATGGAGCAACGCTCGATGACACAACGAGGGCGGACTCATATCTATATCTTATCTTACCCAAGAAGTCGGCAAAAGTCTCTGTCGCGAACAAAGTGAAAACACTTGAAGAACTTTTTGAGCATAATACCACTGTGTTTGCTCATCGCCATACCTACCTACGGACAAATGCTGCGGTGAGACTCTTCGCGATTATACCGATCTAGTAAATCGACGTCATGAAATGCCGAGTTCAACACGATTACAGCCGAACAAATGAAATGTCTTGCTTGGATATGTGGATTAGCTGCTTCCAATTACACTGACATTCGCGCGCACGCACTGTGCAAAATGAAAGAGAATGCGCACCTCACCCTCAAGGAGCTCAGCACAGGCATTCAGCAAATTTTGGATGAAACTGTTGTTTGGATGTTTGTAGAAACTTCAATATGGGGCGGAAGATGAATTAGAAGAAGAATGAAGTCTAAATATGCCAAGCAAGTAGCCGCGATTACCTCCAATGCAACCAGTGCGGCTCCTGCCAAACGCATCTACAGAACGGCGATAGTCAATGGATCACAATAGGTCGTTCCAGTTGCTACTTCTGTTATTAGCACTGGAATCAGCAAACAACAAGGAAATCAAGGTTTAAGGCCATTTTCAATGCAATTTTCTCATTGAAGGACACGAAGGAAAAGGGAATTGCTTTGTGGTCGACGCCACTTCACAGCTTCAACTTGACTGGATGACGCGAGTTGAATCACTATCTCATCGTCATACTGGAAACACTACATGCAATGCCGTGTCTGCTACAACTCTCACGGTACTGCGATCGTCACTCACTGCAAAACTCCGAAAACAATTTTCTTGAGTTTTCGCACAAGAGATAGATTGCTCCACTAGGTCCGAAGCCTCGCTCAAACTTTAGCCGGATGCAACGCCTGTATTTCGAGAAGCTTGCTCAATTCCTTACGCTGTCCTACCTCGAATCTATCGAGAAATCGATCGCCTTATAGCTGCCAACGTCCTGTCGCATGTCGGCCACTCCGATCGTGTAGCTAAAATAGTAGTCGTGCAGAAGTAAAATGGTTCCATACGTCTTTGCGCTGACTTTCAACCAGCCTGAAAGGAGCCCTTGATCAATACCAGCATTCCTTCGTCCGATGACATTTTCACTAAATTGAATGAAGGACAGTACTTCTCACACTTGACCTGACCGAAGCTTACCTCCAGAAGGAAATGGATGAAGAGTCCCTATCGTTACTGACAATCAATACAAATCAGGGCTTATATGGCCTCAACCGTCTTTTTTCCGGAGTGGAATCGGCGCCTGCAATCTTCTAGCAGCAAATAGATGCAATGATTGCTGGTTTAGATGGCACCGCAGCTTAACTTGACGATATCATCGTTATTGGCAAGACCGTAAGTGAACACATTAAACGCCTGACGCCAAACGCCAACTTTGTGCCTTCCTCGGTCTAGTCAACTTCTACGGGAATCAGGTGAAGAGCCTACACAATCTTCGCGCTTCACCAGATGCTCTCAAGAAGAAGGACGCTACTCTTCTATGGGCCCAGGCCAATCTTCGTTCGATCGTATCGAAGCCACACACAAATCAGACTTCCTGCTGCCACACTACGAAACTAGTCTGTCAATCGTCCTAGCTGCCGACGTATCAAAATATGGAATTGAAGCAGTACTGTCGCATCAGTATACATATGGATTAGAAAAAGTCATTCATCCTGCGAGTCGGACTTGGACGTCGGCTCAAAAGATGTGCAACCGAATCGGAAACAAACCTTTTGCTCGTATATTTACGGTTCGAAAGTTCCGTCGCTTCATTCACGGCCGTCACTTTACATAGAAGATTAGTCACAAACCGTCGTCTCTACCTTTCGCAATAAAAAGGAATTCCCTGTTCATAGTGCAAACGTCTTCAGCGATGGGCTACGATAGTGCTGAAATGCAACATCCGTATCCAGTACGTCAATACGATAGATTTTGGGCGCGTATGCATTACGTCTTATTTCATCAGGCACTCACAGTCCGAAGACCGAACAACAGCAGCCACAGACGTGAGAATCACTGTGGAAACCTTGTACAATTGCAATCATGTTCCGGTTCATTTCAAAGCTATCCAGGCTGCAACGTCCTGTTTCGACACAAGTAATCAAGTACCGCAATCTGCACGCTGGTCCAAAGCCAACCGCAATTTACCGTTTCACCACTACTGCGACCGACAAAAAAATCGATCATCGATAGACGGATGTTTGTTGATATCAGGTCGCATTTATCCCTGGATCACTTCAACGCCAGCATTGTGTTCTTTTCACAATGCTCATCTTGGACAAACTAAAATGAAAATGCTGCCGCGCAGCTCCGTTTATTGGCCTGCAATCGACACAGATATTGAACACCTTGTCAAAAGTTGCACAACCTGCGCAGAAGTTGTCGAGAATTCTGTGAAAACAAAACTCAATCCCTGGCCGAAAGCAACGTCGCTGTTGATCAGATTACATGTCGATTTTGCTTGTCCACTTGATTGGACTTACTACCTTCTCGTCGTAGATGAATACTCAAAATAGTCTGAATTCTTGCAAATGAGTTCAATTTTAACTTCATCGACCATCAGAGCGCACAACTTAGAAATCCGCATGCATTGGTCACAAGGAATCAGCGTGGAATTAGACACATTCGCTCCATTCCTTTCGACCCGCTAAGCAATGGACGAGCTGATCGCCTTGTAGATACTCTCAAAAGAGGCCTCGCTAAACTGAAGGGAGAGGGACCATCAGGCGAAGCTCTACAAGACTTTCTCACGGCTTGTTGTGCCCGGACCCGACCATTTATTATTAGCCGAAAACTTTCTAGGGCGAAAACTTCACAATGGATTTGATGTTACCGCAGACAACCGACAAGATGGGACCACGCGATGCTAAAATGGCGGACCAATTCAATCGACACAATGGATTACGGCGATGTCACTTCAAGCTTGATCATGTAGTCTACGAGAACGATTACAGCAAGAGGCACTTGGACTCTCGGAATCTCGCTCGACTCCTTGGAAATGTCGTATAACAAGCGGCTACGCACGCTATCGCGTGCACTGGGGGCTCAAGCCATAAGGCACGAAGCCACATGAGCTTCCGATTTTCATTATAGACCTTTATCATCTTAGCCTATTCCCTGGCACTTGTAGCGACAATCATTTTTTTGTCTCATGGGAAGCATAGAATTTTTTCGTTAGATCACGAAAATTCGGACTGACCAGCAAGCAGTTCAAGAAGGGTGGTTGATGTACGATAAAAAAGTTTGTCCAGCTCGCCGGAGTATTAGCATGGCATACATAACTCTTGATTTTGGAACATGCGATTTATCAAAGCAACACTTCTGCATACACAATATTCTTCAGCAAGGGCGACGAGGATTAATGAAGCAATAACTTCAACCTTTTTGGATCCTAATTAACAAATATTCCGGTTTGGGCTGTGTATGGTCATGAAGAGTTCTCCGATGCATCCGAATCAAATACCTCCGCAGTCCATGTAGTCGAAGAGATTCTGTGTAGTTTGGGCTGTGTGTGGCTATGAACACTAATTTTGACAGGACAGCCTCTTTGGTAGTTGTAGGGATTTACACTTCTCTACGGTCATGTGCCTGTGTGGCCGGGGTTATTGAAGAATTTATTTTATGAGATCTGAAGTTAATGTAGTGCATTTGCTCTTGTGTAGAAGGGACTACTGTGTGTGGAACCAACTTTTAGAAAATTTTCATCTCAATTTTGGAAAGAGTTCAGTGGTATCCTCTAGTTGTACACCTATGCGGTCAGGGTTAGTGTGAAGGATAAATGTACAGGGTCTCCCAAAATTATTGGCGTCGATTTATAGCAATATATTTGAAAATTTCCAGCTGCGAAAGACGATGGAATCTCTATGCACACTAGCTAACACCATGTGCTACAACATGTTACAGTCGCATTTCAAAGTATCCCCCATGAGCGCGGATAGAAGTCAAAGCTTGCTCTCGACTTGATCGCATATGGCACGCAGGTATTCTTCTCCATTTCTTCCCAGCCGTTATTCAGCCTTTGCATTCTAGGGCTCCAAACTGGGATTGCAAACTCGACAGGTTCTCTTCTAATCAGTGACCATTCGTGGGAGTCAAGTGAATCAAGTTCTGGGAAATCGGATGACCGTTCTTCTTCAACAATGGAGTCGGGCAGCTGTCGTTGGCACCGCTCGCGGGCAAGCTCTTGTGGGCTGGAGTAGCTTTCTGCTGGAAGGACTACGAGATGTTTCAGAAAACGTAGCCCGGTCAGTGGAGTACTGGTCTTGATCAGTTTTCACGCCTGCACCGAAGAAACGATGAGCGGCTTACCCTTGCCAGTGATTTCCTCGAAAAACATGATTTTACGATTCTGATAGCAACCTTTTTGTGAGATATTACTCGCCAGATGTTTCTTTCCGGAATGCGAGCGTTTGTTGTTGAGGAATGGGTTTATCGCAAAAAAATTCTTGAACAGAGAAAACGACGGAAGGTTGCGTGTCAGCACTCAAGTGGGTCTGCGACTTTCTGCATTTTTTGGCCCTGCAGTGTCTGTTGAGATCGGAAATGAAGCATACGATAGGAATGGTAGTGAGGCTACTGCATGACATTCTGCCATCGCGATAACTCCTGTAAGCCGTGCCCGTTGACTTCCACCCAAAATCCCGACCGATTGGCAGAAAGACCATTTTAATAGTCCTATCTTCAGAAACGTTCTACCTTTCTACCTT